TGTGTTGCCCACCATAATTTATTAAATTTAAATGCTACCCGACTGCCAGGAACTCTGAGTGGTTATGTTGGCTGCTTAACCTCTCAGCTACCTGGCAAAGTATCATAAGTAGTTGCATTTTGGTTTTGTTTTAATCACTCCCTAAAGATCCATCGTAGTAGATAGTTTGATCACGAAGAGGATGCAACTGCCCACTAAACCAAACCACAAGAAATCTTGTTGATTTTACACTAATGAAAATTACAGGCCATTGTATGAATCTAAAGTTGCCAACAGTGAAGACAGACTGCGAATTATAATTCAAAGAGGGAGGGGTGTGTCATTCTTTAAGACTCATTAATTTTCTACACTGGCTACACAGCTTAAAGCCATCTGGGACAGCCAGAGGCTTAAACATATGAAGGCTGATTATGGCTGAAATAGAAGGCTTTCATACTATATTTCATTGAGACGATGGGAAAATAGCAGCTGCCTATCTTGAGGGAAATCAGGAGCCTTGGCACTCAGTAGGTATCAAATTCTACAGTAACTTGCCATACGGTTTGATTTATAATCGTGATTAGTTGGCTTAGAGATCAAATGTTTCTACCAGCATCATCAGGGAAAACCCTGAGAGGTTGAGCTTGTAGTCCATGAGACTTCTGGGACTGTAAAATAACTCAGTCTTGAATATCTCCAAAGATAGGTTGTACCTTGCCCATGAGATTTCTGAACCATCCCATGGCTCTTGTAGATTTTCCTATGTAACATATCAAACATATCTCCTGACTTCATACCAAGTTGCAGGCTATCTGCTGGCCTATATGCAGTCACTCCTATCCTATGATTTTTGCAATTTCCCTTGGCCAAGGTATTAGAATTTCAAGGCACATAGTTCAACAAAAGTAACTATCTGTCAATGGATTATACCTGTACTCACCAACATAATGTACAGAAAAGACCAGCGTGGCTGGAATAAATCCATATGCAACAATTTCTTTCCAAGGTTTATCTTAAAGACAATTTCATTAGCTTTTCCCATTCCTGCGAAACAACTGTTAGTCACCGTGCATGACTGAAGAAAATAGATCTGGAGTGAAAATCCTTTTGAATTAGTGCTATCCAGTTGTCCTTTAATCTACTTTCTGTTCCAGAAAACCTTTCAGGACATCTGTGTCTTAAGCTGATGCAATTTTCAGGAAGTTGGAAGTCTTAATGCCACTCAAGAGCAGTAGCACCTTTCTGAATGCAATCACTTGGCAGAATTATTTTTAAAACCTGCTCCAAATTATCTTGGTTTGACTGTCTTGGGCAGAAAGGTGGAAAATGAAAGCACGATAAAATTACAGCCAACAAATAACATTTAAGCCTAAATACCTGGTCTCTTTTGCATTCAATGAATTTCAAGAACTTTTTGGTGCATGGGCTAAATTAGGTTGCTAGATGCTTGGCAAGTTCATACCAACTTATCTCCGGATGAATATTAGATAAAATCTGAAGTAAATAGTTTATTCAGAATCTGAGAAGGGGAAAAATGGCACAAAATGGGCAAGCTCTTAACAAAGAAATGATCATTTCTTGCTCATTGAGAAGACTCCTTTCTTCTCAATTTTAAATATTTGAACAGCCACTGCCAGACTCCAAGACAACTAGAGATTCTAGTCCTTTACCTTCTCCTTTACTGATAAATAAACTTAGATGTGCTGCAATGAAACCTCTCCTTGAGAAGGTCAATTATCAGTTCACGCTCAGAGGACTTTTCTTTATTGTTACTTCATAAATTCCAGTACTTCATATAGTACTAAAAACCAGTTCTGCCTCTGAATCAGAGCTCCATGTTAACTGCTGCTGAAATTAATTTTAGCTGCATGTGTTAGTAGTAGGAAAATAAATTACAAGAGGAACTGTTGAAAAAAATATGCAGGGATGATGAGTGATTTTCCATAATTAATACTGAAAACAACAACATTTTAATTCATTTTACTTCTGTCAGCATTACTTTAAAGCCTCTGTTCATTATTCATTTCAGGTACTACTTCTGTTGCAGTTTATTATTGGGGAAGTGATGTGTTGGAGAGAAGAGATAGCATTAGAATGGATTATTTGGAAGTTCTACTTAAACTAATATACCCTGGAACCTCTCCTGGTACAAATGGTAACATTTTCCCTTCTTTGTCATTAATGTCTCTTTTATTTAATTATCTCATTACATTAAAATATGCCTGGTTCACTTGTTTCATTCCTAATATATTATTTTGGTATACACACTGCAATTTTGCCAGACCTGATTTTGATTTTCTTATGAATGTTTCATGATTAAGGTGAGCCACCCTTCTGCTTTTCTCTATTTAGTTAGATCAAACTTCTGTAATTTAGTGCCCTCCAGATGACTTTCAGTTTTTAGCTGAGCTTTCCTTTTTACTCATCAGAGCAAGGATGAATTTAGACCCAGGAAGAATCTACACTTACTATCCAATTCTATAAATTCCACTGACTTCCCTTTTGCGGTAAAATCTTTCTACCATTACATAGTTCAGAGGACCTATGTCAGTGGTGGCGAACCTATGGCACGGGTGCCAGAGGCGGCACTCAGAGTCCTCTCTGTGGGCACGCGCACCGTCACCCCAGTCCTAGGCCTTTAGCTGGGTTTTATAAAACCTTTTCGCTTTAGGCCTCTGCCACCATGTGCAAAAAAAAAAAAAAAGTTCGATCAGTCAATTTCAACTTCTCGCGGGAAAAAAAAGATCTTGCAAAGTTGGAATTGATTGATTGAACTTTTTAGTCCCACCCAGTCTGCCATTACCACTGCAGCCACGCCCACCCAATGGGCCATGCCCACCCAATGGGCCACACCCACCTGGCACTTGATGATGCATAAATGGGTTTTGGGTTGCAGTTTGGACACTCAATCTCTAAAAGGTTCACCATCACTGACCTATATGAAACAGGTAGCAGGTGCATTGAATTCGTTGCCAAAACCACAGGAAGGAGTATGGTGGAATTTAACTACAAAACATTCTTCCAGGTGGAAGGATGGAGAGAGCATCTGAATAAAAAGGTGTCACTGACACTTTCTGCAGCCAGAGAAAAAAAATTACTTTTAAAATGCCTAAAGCGGGGAAAGAAGATATATATATTATCTTGAATGTTTTGAAAATATTTTTGAAGAACCAAATGGGGATCTTCAGCTGATAGTCCTTCAAATACAGTTTGATGCAAATGGCTTATTAGACAAAATATACCACTAGCCTTCCATACTGATGAAAAAGAAATAATTAAAATCTTGATATAAATGTACCAGCGCTGTACTACAAAAAGAATACCGTATTGATGGACCTGTTCACAGCTGCATAACTGAAGAAGTCATAGGACTGTATGAATTCTCCCATTAAAGAAAGTTACAAAATCTTGAGATTGTTTTTTTAAAAAAAAATAGGAGGAAGGGGGAAATGCTATGGTAAGATGGATAATCTTTGACTTAAAATTACTGATTCAGCGACTGTTTAACATTATGATGGCACTGAATGCGGAGGACTTATAATTGGTCTGGAAAGCTGTGGCTATTGCGGTGTCTTCATGGTCATGTGACCATAATCTAGGTTCTTGGGTGCCTGTTTCACATTTATTGTTTCAGGAGCCACAGTCATGTGATTGTAATTTGCAACTTTCCCTTCCAGTTTCCCAAGGAAAAAAGTCAATGGAGAAGACAGTAGGGAAGGTTTCAAGTTGATCCCACTGCTTTTTCTCTTAAACCCCCCCCCCCACTACAGATCCCTGGGACCCAGTGGTGGGATTCAGCTGGTTCGCACCAGTTCACCAGAACCGGTAGCTAATTTTTTGTTGCCCAGGCCCAGAACAGACTTCCGGAAGCGGCATCCACACAGAGAACCGGTTGTTCACATATTTGAATCCCACCACTGCTGGGACCTCATACTCTGTAATCCCCAATTGACTGCCTGAATTCCATAGCGCTCTCTTACATGGCATGTGTCCACACACAGCAGCAGCCCCACCCATTTTTGCTTAACATTTTTGCCTAGTCCCAAGGTTACAATGGGACTACAACTCCTGTGATTGCTGTCACTATGCGAAGTGATCGTGTGACATTGCACTTTATGATTGAATCACTTAGCAATAGCAATCCCGGTCATCGTAACTCGAGGACTGCTCTATCGGAAGTTACAATTGCCATCATAACTTGAGGACTGCTGTAACGGCAGCATGACTGAGATTTATAAGATAGGTGCGTGGAGTGAAGAAAGAATGAATTTTTCTTCCCACCTCACGCTTGCCGCAAGGGTCAACCAAATAATTTTAATACTGGGAAATTCAGAACAGAGAGAAAGAAATGTTCCCAATTATGCGTAATTAAATATGGAAAGTCCTTCTGTAAAATGAGGTGACAGATTTACTGGCAGATATTCTGAAATGGAGTGGAACTAGTATCAACATTCTTTATGATTTAGCAAATGATCTGTTCTCATAGGATTTAAAAAAAAATTCTGTGACACGTGAGGGCTTGAAATGAAAGTAAACAAACCCCCCAAAATGTTGTTTGGCTTTTATAGGTAAGATTTAACTATAGCAGATTCCAATAAGATGCATGCTCTCTTGTTCTATAGTGCTGACATAGCCATGCTCGATTTGGGTGCATCAACAATAAATTCAGCAACATTTAGTATCCATTAGGCTTCCTCATATATTTGTCTCACGGCTTATTTTCTCTTGTGCGGATTCTTCAATTTATCAGGAGCTAGTTCTTTATCCAACCTCTAAAAAAAATACCAGGTGGGGGAAAAAATCCTAACACTTTGGGACAAATAGCAGTTTGTGAGCTCATCCCATAGTTATCCAAACATCCTTTGCAAAGAAGCATGCTATGGATGCTACTGCCATTATTTCAGATTTGGTTCAGTTAGGGAAAAAGAGCAGGATCTCTTCTGACTATAGATAAGTGCTTGGCTGTTTCCTGTTTTTGTAACTCCTGTCATAATAAAGACATCTCTTTGCACTGGACTCACCTCTAAGACTCTGCCGCTAATATACCGATTGCAAGTCTCACACTTAATACCAAATTGAGCATGATAGTCCGCTTCACAATATGGAACACCATCCCTGTGAGAAAAGAACAGGCTGTGAGATTTCAAAGAGAGAAGGAAAAATGAAGCACAACCCACCCGAAGCACAAATGTTATAGAGATCGTCATGGCTGGATGCTGCAACACCATTCATACTAAAGTGAAGGCATTGTGAAAACTTTCCCAGACAAGTCAGTTGCTTACTTTTTGCCTTCTAATCTGTTTTTGCTCCTAATCTGCTGGTTTTGTGCTGGGTCTATCTGCAGTTGCCTGACAGCAGCAGGGCCCTTGAGGCCCAGGGTCTGAGTCCAGGAATGGGGCCAGGAGAGAGTCCTTTGACCATTTCTTTCTAACCACTTGCTCAGTTGGATGAGATTGATTCAGAAATATACAGGAAGGGCGAATGTATGTCACAAAAAAGGCAGTTACACCCACCAGCACAAAAGGTAGAGGGCGGAAGGACGGTTTGTTTATTCAGTAGACAGTGAGCCTCGGATGCAAGCCGGAGTCAGCAGGAAGGCTCAGGGGAGCCAAAAGGAAAAGACGATACGGTGTACGACCAAGATACATTTGACATCGGCTGCTTCACATACAGGTAGTTCTCGACTTATGACCACTTACAAGCCCATGATTTCTGTGGTTAAGCAAGACAGTTAAGTGAATTTTGCCCAATCTTATGACTTTTCTTGCCTCATAGGTTAAGTGAATTATTGTGAGCCGAGGTGGCGCAGCAGTTAGAGTGCAGTACTGCAAGCCACTTTAGCTGACTGTGTTCAGCAGGTCAGCGGTTCAAATCTCACCAGCTCAAGGTTGACTCAGCCTTCCATCCTTTCGGGGTAGGTAAAATGAGGACCCAGATTGTTGGGGGCAATGTAAATATATATATACATTGCTTACTGGTGTACACCGCTTAGAGAGTGCTTGCACTTAAAGCGGTATATAAGTCTCATAAATAAATAAATAAATAAATAAAAATTGTAGTTGTTAAGTTAATACCATGGTTGTTTAAGTGAATGTAGCTTTGCTTCTCAGAAGGTCACAAAAGGTGATCACATGACCCCCTCCTGGACACTGCAACTGTCATAAATGTGAGTCAGTTGCCAAGCACCCAAATTTTGATCACATGACTTTGGGGATGCTGCAGTGGTCGTAAGTGTGAAAAATGGTCATAAGTCAACCTTTTTTCAGTGCCACTGTAACTTCAAACAGTCACTAAATGAACTGCTATAAGTCGAGGACTACCTGTATCATATTTTCTGCACAATTGTTCATATTTATTTCAGGAAATTAAAGCTTGAAAAGCAGAATGTCAGAACAACCGTGGGCCTGTTTCTGGCTGTTACCTGGTGGATAAAGTCACCCATTCTGCTTTTATTTCCTTACTGAGCAGAACCATTCTTTAAGGCAGTGTTTCTCAACCTTGACAATTTTAAGGCATGTGGACTTCAACTCCCAGAATTCCACAGCCAGCATTGCTGGCTGTGGAATTCTGGGAGTTGAAGTCCACATGCCTTAAAATTGTCAAGGTTGAGAAACACTGCTTTAAGGGATCCTTTGTTGGAATAGGCTCACGGGTTGCTCCAGGGCTAAAGGTACTCAATGATTAATCATTGAGACAGAATAATAAAACCATTAATTGCACCATAAATGTGGCTTTTAAATTGGGTTTTAACAGAAGTTATCCATGGACTTTCATTGCTAATGGCAGTTTTACAAACAATTATCTTTTAATGAATTATAGACAATGTTACCCCCAATTAAAGGAAATCCACTGTTTTATTTAGTCTAGACAAAACATTGCTTTTGTTTAAACAGCTTCAGATATTATTTGGCACTGGGATTCTGCAACATCATTTATTTAATTCTCCTTAGTGCAGATATAAGCATTTAATGCTGCAGCATTTATGCGCTCTGTTGGATGACACCTGCATAAAACTTGATCTACATTCTCTCTCCAGAGAGAATTATTTTCTAGTACCATTATTACCTGATTATCCATTGAAAGGTCTATGTACAGCAAGATCATTGTCAGAAACATTGCTATGATAGAGGATCTAAGCAAAGCTATTGTAAATGAGGATTAAATACACAAAATTTAAAAGAATTACAAAGAATGTGCTGTTGAGGATGTAGAAAATAGAATGGTTGGATAGGGGAGTAAATGAATCAGGACTAATTCCTGAATTAGTGGCGGTCAGACCATATGACCTTTGATTGAATTAGCAAATAATCAAATAAATAGATAGACTAGTTTATTCCAGGAACACAGGTATTTGCAACCATCCTAGAGCCTTCATGTGTAACTACCCAAAGAGTTGAAATTGAAGATAGTTTTGGAATTCTTACTGAGCAACTGGAAAGCGTACTGATTTTACAAAAACTAGAAAATTGCTTTTTAAAAAAACCCCTCTTCTTTATGAAGTAAGGAGTTCTCAAAAGGTTGCCTATATTCCTTTCCAGTAAATCCATACAAGTGAGGCAAAAGGAGGAACAAGTGGCTCGTGCTTCCTGCAGAAGTGAAGGTGATCCATTATGTGCACTGAAAATGCACACATTCCATTTGTACATGAAATTATTAGATTCTAGTCCAGGAAGATATCCACATCTCACTTCTTTGCACATTAGCCAAGAACGGTAGAAGAGAAAGTACAAATCTGTTTTGCTTTCTTTCTCTCTTCTTGCTTCTAATATACATAGTGGTACAAAAGTCTCAGAATTCTTCAAGAATACCATCCAATGCTTAGCTGTGAAGGAATTCCCCACCCATCCAGTTTATAATGTGCATAGGGAAGAGGTGAAAACACGCACTTGCTAATGTATTCTCCAGTCAGGATGATTCCACAGGTTTGGCACTTGAAGCAGCTGACATGCCACTGTTTTTCTAAAGCCAGGAGGGACTGACCTTGCTTGATTTCCTCTTTGCAACCTGCACATTCTAAGGAATAAAAGAGACAAGAACTAACCACACAGCAGAAGTAGGAACATCCCAAATAGATTTAAAATCTGTGTAGAAGACAACAGGGTCTACAAATAGCACGCTTACTGCAACCATAAATAACAATAATACAAATGACGGACATTAAGCAAAAGGTTCCAGTGTTCAAAATGGTTTGTCATACATAGGCTATCTCCGTTAAGGAAAAAACAAATGACTAATAGGAAAGGTCCTTTATTTTGCATAAAAGTCAATGTGGAGAACCTCAGTTGTATAATTTCCTCTACAGTTACATGGTTTTCTCTTTGGAGAGACAGCTATCCAAGATTGTGTTGTCCATAGGATGGATTCTCCATCCCTGATCATGATTGGCCATATTGGTTAAGAAGGTTGATATGCTGATTCTAACATATTTTGAGACCATTCAGGTTGGAGAAGCCAGATATATGAAAGTCATGTGAATGCTCCTCATGGGTATCTTGTCTCTGCATATGTTCTTGGATTTGTTGATAAATCACTGTAACTCTAAACAACACTTTGTTTATAAAGTAGCTGCTTACAGCAGCATCAGCAGTATTGTTATCAGAGTGTGTAAACCTAGTGGAATATTTAAAATGTTCAATATTGCATCCATATTATGAACCATAACATTGGGAGTCTTGGAAACTATTTATACATATAAATTTTTATTCAGACCTCACCTTTGGCAAGATTCAGTCTGTGCCAACTGAATAAAATAAATAAATCAAAAATACATAAAATGCACAAAATAGTTTCAATATGAAATATATTTACCTCTTTCACACCAAATTTAATTATTCTGAATAATTTTAATTGTAGGATGCAAATATTCCACTCAGTTTATACAGAAATGAGTGATTTTGTGTTTTAGTTCATTTTTATGGAATTGTTTTTCCTTCTTTGGTTGCTAGCAAATATAAATTATGTTAACACACAAAAAAAGCCTGACACGTTGGCATCTTCCTCTCCTGGAGAATTACAGTTTGTCATTTCAATCTTGATCCTTCTGTTTGAACCAATTTAGATAGGATAACGCAGTGGTATATTTGCTTTAACAAAAAAAAAATTAAATTAAATTAAAACCTCCTCAAAACATCTAACCAAGACTCAAGGAGAATCTGGCACGATTGCCAAGGAAAGCAAAAAACAGCTATACTGAATGTTGACCTAATACCAGAGTACTTACAGATCTGCCTTGTTTAAGGGTTAGACCAAGTTGAATTGCTAAAGAACAAGAATGATGGGGTTAGGATGGGGAGGAATACATGGGTTAAATATTTATGGAAGGCTTCCTCTGTTTTAGAAAATCTGGACTAGAAGGAGATATTTGGATTTTAGCCAGTGTAGTAAAAACTGCTTCCTAACCTCTATCACAATCAGATTTGGTGTGTGCCTAGGTATTTATCCTCTTCCTTCCTTTCATGTTTCCTTTGCTGTTTAGTCCATTAGCAGAAAGCACATGGGCCTGAAAGGGGTGACTGTCCCAGCTATGATTGGCTCTTTCAGTCTTGTCAGCATTCGAACATCCCTCAGATTGTCAAGGAATCACTAACACATAGAGTGCTCATTGGTCAATAGTTGAGAAAAATCTCATTGGTACAGGCTATGGAATAAATAAACTGTTGCACCAAAAGTATTTCATGAAGCCACTCTGACTGCTGCTGCATTTTCACTTTACACACCTGCTGGAGGGGCTGTTTAAAAATGCAAGATAGACTGACAATCTCCTCTGATGGCTTTTCTCTCTCATCGCTCACCTGTCAACACAATTCCCGGTTTGCCACTTGTTCTGGCAGTGCATTCCACTGCTAGGGTAGCTCCAGGGAACTTTTTGCCATGCACGTATATCAAGCAATACTCTAATCCCAGAATCTTGCATGCTAACAAGGTTCTCTTCCTGCCTTGCCTACTGAAGTCACAACTAGTTGTCACTGAGTGGCACCCATGGAGATACAGTGAAAGCAGGAGCTAATGCAGAAAAAAAAAATATTGGGGAGATGCTGTTCTTTGCACATTATATCCTGAATGTTGCTTGGCATAGTTATGAATTATCTATGGAGCCTTTGTGTAATCTGATCTGTACATCTAAGGTGAAGATTGAATTTCAGGGGAAGATGCAGACTTCATGTGACCTGGCAGTGTTAAAGAGAATGAGGAGGAAAAGTGCAGGGGACGGGGAAGGGAAAGGCAAAAAAAGATATTGTGGTCTTGTTGTTTTTTTCCTCAGGGGCTTCTTAACAGGTTCCTGGAAACTGAGTAGGGACAAAGGGAGAGGAGCCTTTCTTTGGGTGCTGATTCAGCAGATTTGTCCCATGCAGCTCTATTCACTGTGGCTTGTTTCTGAACTTCCAGTTGCAAAAACAGCTGGACTATCTGGTTGGATGCAGTGACAGATCTCTTCTCTTTGAGAAGTGGATATTCTTCTTTGCTCTTGTGTAGGTTTACAGGATTGCCTTAAACCAGTGATGACAAACCTTTTAGAGACCGAGTGCCCAAACTGCAACTCAAAACCCACTTATTTTTCGCCGGGTGCCAAGTGGGCATGGTCCACTGGGTGGGCGTGGCTGTGGTGGTCATGGCAGACTGGGTGGGTGTGGCCAAGGTGGGCATGATCACCTCAATGTTGCTTATTGGGAAGGATGCCTGTGGGGGCCAGGCAGGGTTGGGGGAGATCCAGGGGGTCTCTGGCAGGTGGGGCGGTGGGCAGGAGGCTCATCCTGCAGGGTGAGGTGAGGCAGGGTGGGGTTGTCATTGTCACAGGGCAAGGTGAGGCAGGGGCTGGGGCAGCTGCTGCCTGACACCATCGCCCCCCCCACAGAGGTCGGCGAGCGCATGGGGGCCGACAGTGTTTATCAGCAGCCACAGTCTGCCGGCTCCTCAACCGGCGGACGCTGGGGCTCTACAACCCACCACCACCAGTTCAGAAAAGCCACCTCTGAGTTGGATGGCTGGCTGACAGCTGAGGAGGCAATGCAGTGAGTCGTGCCCAGGAAAAGAAGAGCATGCGAGGCCAGGAGGGATGGGACAGTGGGGAGGGAAACCAGCTGTGGTGGGATTCATCTGACCAGGTGGGACCTCAGGGAGTTAGCGGGCAGCTGGTTGAAGAGTGACGGTTGCCATCTCTGGGGCATGGCGCGTGTGCCCACAGAGAGGGCTCAGAGTGCCGCCTCTGGCACGCATACCATAGGTTCGCCACCACTGTCTTAAACAGCTGCAGTTTGAGGAAAGCTTATGTAGTTCAACCTTATGGAACCTCTAAGTTATCTGGAACATAATTATAATTCTCAGTATAATTTTTATAACATAATTTGCAACTAAAAATAATGGGAATGATACATATAGGAGGAAAATGTATTAAACCAGGAGAGGTTTCTTGTGTCAGGTATTCTAAAAAGTGCATGCTATAATTGGCAGATACTAAGAAAAACAGGTACAAAGTAGACTGTTGAAAAAAAAAACAGAAATGGGACAGAACAAAAGTGTAGAAAGGGGGGGAAAGCAAAATCTATTTTGACAGTTGTATCTATCCATACGCCCATCCTCCTTTCTAGAAAAAATATTAGCCAGCTTCACAGTATCTTAGCAGCTTAATAGGATTACATTTGTCCTATGCATAGTATTACATAGCACCCTGATTTTACTATGTAATAGAGTAGAGCCAGAGTAGGGCCAGATAAAAACGTTTTGAAGTAAAATGAATCCCAGTGATGCCCTTCTTTTGCTAGTTAACATGGGACACGATTCAGCAGGAGCCTCTTATGCACCAACTTGCACAAATTTTCAGATTTTGCACACAATCCCTATATGTTTTAAAGGAGCATCCTGTGAATGGCATTTGTAAATCCAACACACACCATTTCTAACACCATGATCAGAAACCAAGTCAAGAATCCACATCATCTTATCCATGAGTAGACACCTTGAAGTATTTAAACCTAAAAGCAAAATTGCCACTTTCATTGTTCTAAAAAGTTCATTTCAGGGACAAATATTGAACCAAAGGGTAGATAAGAATGACATTTAATATTCTATCACCTTCTGTGGCACTAGTTGATTTAATGATTTAATAAAAGAAGATTATTAGAGAAAAGTTGATCAGAGAAAAGAAGGACTAGGTGTGACATGATAGCAGTGTTCCAGTACTTGGGGGTCTGCCACAAAGAAGAGGAGGTCAACTTATTTTCCAATGCACCAGAGGACAGGACAAGAAATAATGAATGGAAACTAATCAAGGAGAGAAGCAACCTGGAAGAAACTTACTAACAGTGAGAACAATTAAAAACTGAAACAGCCTGCCTTCAGAAGTTGTGGCTGCTTCAAAACTGGAGGTTTTTAAGAGACTGGACAGTCACTTCTTTGAAATGGTGTAGTAGGGTCTCCTGCTTGAGCAGGGGGTTAGACTAGAAGACCTCCAAGGTCTCTTCCAGCTCTGTTCTGAATTGAATTAATGAGGTATCCTTTATCAAAAAACTAAGGCACAATAACAACAGTGCACCAATTATCTGGAGCTACTATAAACACAGAAACTAAAGGGGAGAGGGGGCTCAGTCTTTGAGTACACATTTCCACTTTCTGTTATTTTAACAGTTGTAGTCCAGTGAAATTGTAAGACTTGTCCCTCCTCTGTTTGGCCCCTACAGAACATCTGTGTTTACATCTTCATGCAAACTTAAAAGCAAAGCAAGCCTGTCTTGGACAGCTTTTTCTTTGGCTCAACTCAGCTGATCTGGGAAAAGAAATATAGCACCTCCACCCTTTTTCCTGGAAAAAGGGTGAGCCAACACTGCGGAATTCTTGTTGACTTTGACTCTGTGATTTTCCTGCACTAAGACAGCCTTTTAAATATTGCAAATGGGAGCATAGAAGAAACTACCTTTTCCAAATGCAGCTACACTACAACTGTCATGTTTCTGTAGAAATGAAGACAGAAATGTGACTTTTACCACCTTGGCCCATACAGGCTGCAGTCCAGCTGGGAGTTCTGCATGTATCAGGAGCTTAAATCAACAGGCTTACGCGCTCTTAATTCTCTGTTGAATTGTGGCCACTCTGTTCTTGTTTGGCAGCTTCGAACAGCTCTGCCAAGAGCCAGCTGTCACAGGGAAGCACTGTTTTGTGATTGTAGCAAGGAATACTGTGTCATTCTTCTCTTAGTAATCCATGTGTCTAAGGAGACAGTAACATCTATTGCCTCCACTGTGAGATCATACAGCTTGCTGTGCAATGGCATCCAGCTGGTAGGCAGCCCAATCGAGATTGCTCATTACAAGGCTTTTACAAGAGTTCCCTGTCTGTATGTTCAGTAAGCAACAGCCTTTTTAGCATTGTTGGGCAAAGAAGCCATCATATAACCTGAAGGTAGCTTTTTGCCTTTCTAGTCTACAAATTTCAGCATGATCTATCAAGCCACAAGCAGAGAAGCTCTCTCCCACACTCCCTCAGTCTGGGAAGTGGGGGCATGACTCATTCAGGGCATAACTGAGGAAACAATTCTGAAACAGGAAGAAAGCAAAGGAGTTCTTTTTCCTCGCCCCACAGCTTTCATGGAAAAACTTGAGGTAATGGGAAGGGGCCTGAAAAGCTCCTGGGTTGTGGACATTTCATAAATTCATCAGTGCTTCAGTTCAAAATAGGTCAACAAGTATAATGGTATGTTGGGATGAGTTTGCAAGACTGAGCCCAGTCATGCTGCTTAGGACTGGCCAGATAAGAGACAGCATGGTCCATAGTGCCGAGGTGGCGCAGCAGTTAGAGTGCAGTACTGCAGGCCACTTTAGCTGACTGTGTTCAGCAGGTCAGCGGTTCAAATCTCACCGGCTCAAGGTTGACTCAGCCTTCCATCCTTCCGGGGTAGGTAAAATGAGGACCCAGATTGTTGGGGGCAATGTAAATATATATATATACATTGCTTACTGGTGTACACCGCTTAGAGAGTGCTTGCACTTAAAGCGGTATATAAGTCTCATAAATAAATAAATAGTTGGAGAGAGTCTCGAAGGAGACCCTCCCAAATTTCTCAGGGTAAAGGAGATGGGAGAAGAATTGTACTTTCAGACTTGCAGAATTCTGTTAATGTAACCCTAGAATACAGTAGAATTGGTTGATCTGATTGTGCTTTCTGCCTGACAACAAGGGAGAAACCAATAGCAGCTGCCCCACTCGGGCAATGCCAATTGTAGGCACTCCTTCAAGGCAAAAGACTTCACCAAGGCATGAAGATTATTACAAAAATACTCTATTCTAGCCCACTGAGTCTCCCACATCATGAAATCAGAAGTCAAATCAGAAGTTCGGCATAACCAAAAGAATAAAATGTGCAAGGCTATAATTAATGTAAAACATGAGTAAATTGTACCTACTCCCCCCCCATCCAAAAGAAAAAGTTAAATACGACTTTTGTCCCGCCATGAATATGCAGGATCACATTTGTATATTATTTTTATTTTTTATCATGATCATCATCTACTTTGGTTTAATCTGAAATTTAATGATTGAGTATTGTAAATTATGTTCAGATTTTTCTCCATTCAAAGTGATAGAGAAGTACTTTAACTAAATCACGCTGGGAATGATGGTGATGGTGATGATGAAGACCATCAGCATCATCATTATTTATAAGATATTCAACTTTCTTTTTTCAGTTAAGAATTCCCAAATAGTTTGAATCAGCAAAAGAATTCTTGGAGATATGTTCTTTCAATAAGTCTCAATATTTAGTATTGTTATAATTTACGCTGGACGCCTTTTAACATTTTGGTACATGGGGGCAAATAAATCCAAATTATAAATTGTAAAATTAGTTGAGGGCAAAAATCCTACTAGATTGCATAAAGAAGCAATAAACAGTTCTAAGTTGCTAGATGACCTCTGGTTTTTATGGTCTTAATCTTCTTTGGATGCTGTATAAAAAGTGAAATCAACCTGACTTACGGCTTGGTCCATGAATCTTGATAGGCTTGTTGCTAATCAGTGAATGGGAACAAGTTTGGCAAACACAATCCTTGCCACTGAATGTCACTTTATCTCCAATAGGAAAGGGCTTCCTAAAACAAGGAAAAATAAGCAAGACATCAGAAATGCATAAGTTAATACCAGTATGAACCGATATTTCACCAGTTATTATTACACTTAGTCAGCTATTATAGTTCATGTGTGTTCTATTTTCTGAAGAGTCTATTAATGAAATTTGGAATTTAATGCTTATGGAAATAAATGAAGTATGGGAAGTCTGCTTGTTTGTTTGGAAACATTTGTTGACAATTCAATTGTCTTTTGTTATTTTTGTGGGTTTTGATGACTCATCTTGGGATAATTCTCACTCTTGGTTAATTCTGGTTGAGTTGAGAAAAGCAGTTTGATGCATATCACAGAATTAATTCCTTGTTGACTACCTTAAATACATGGCAGATGAAAGATGACATTTTTGACAAATGAAGATCTCAGAGAACTTGCCCATCCTGTTTCTGAAGAAAAAATGTTTAAAGTAATTCTCACTGGCCCTGGAGCTATATTTGAATTTGTTTATCTGCTACAACAGTGGTTCTCAACCTTTTTATACGGCGACCCCAGTCATAAGCAGGCGGCGCGCATGCGCGGCACCGCCCCCTGCGCGGCACGCATGCACGGCGCCGCCCCCTGCACGGCACGCATGCGTGGTGCCGCCCCCCCGCGCTGCCCCTGCGCCGGCTGACGAAAAAAATGGCGGATCGCGTTGTTTGGCGACTCCCGTGAAATGGTCGTTCGACCCCAAATGGGGTCGCGACCCACAGGTTGAGAACCGCTGTGCTAGAATCACCTCTTAGAAAGAGTCTGAAAATCACCACGAAATGAGAGGTTTTTCCTTTTACCATAAGATGAACCAGTTGGGAAGTCTCAAAAAGAACAAAAACAAAGAAACCTAGTTAAACAGACAAGCAATCATGTAAGTATTTCCAAAATATGCTCACAAGAGCAAAAGAAATAAGACACCTACATCTATCCAGAGAGTGGACTTTTTAAACATAAATTTAATGATTTGGGATTTAATATTTCGTTTTATAAAAGGGGAGACTTTTGTTTTTACTTCAGACAGGGATAGCACAGCATTGTTTTGAGCTTGAGTGTCTTCCAAAAATATTCAAAACCACCCATTTTGCATTTAGAATAGCTGTTTCATGCTCAAAATGGGCACTGAAACAAATTTGCTGTGAATCTGAAACAGTTTGATTCAAAATTTTCTGAACACCTCAGGAGAAACCTTGGTTATCTCCCAGGAAAGAGAGTAGGGTATCCACATTTCCCAAACTAATAATGTTCCCCTGCGTTCTTAACTGCTGAGAAATGATTTTTCAGCACAGTTTGAATGGAGAAATTCAGTCCAGTGTTATTTATTTTTAAAACACCGAGATAAAGTTTCAACTGCAAGTGACTTCATGGACATATCCACATAGTTTTCTTGGCAACAATATGGAAAAAGCTTCTTGTTGCTGGATGGCCTTTTGATTTCCAAGTCTAACCTACAGATATTTCCTAGTTATCTGTCACCCGGACACTAATTTGGTTTAACACTACTTAGTTTTTCAAAACTAACCCTGATTCATTTGTTTGTCACCATTTAATTCAAGTTATCTTTAAAGCATTATAAGCTACCTATGCACCACCAACAACCCCTGGAGGTTCTAATGGAGGCCTGCAGAAACTTTCATTGTTTCTGTAAATTGGCTGCTAGAGGAAGGATGTTTGGGGAGATCTCTCCTTGTCACCTTCTTCCTTGGAATATAATCTTTCCACTGCTAATCAAACAATTGTGTCCTGGAGACCCAAGAGATGGTTTAGATCAGTGGTTCTTAATCTTTTTGAGCGAATCGCCCCCTTGAGCCAATGAGGAAGTTGTCATCACCCCCTCCCCCAACATAACCTCTCAATCACAACATAGGAAATAATTCTTCAATTTATGCAAACACTTGTTTTGTTTTCTTTAAAATTGTCATCAAGACATATTGATGCAAATAATTTATTTCCAGTCTTTTTCTCATATCTCCCATATTCTGGCCAATGGCGTGCTGTGCAACGCGCATGAAGATAAGTGATGCGTATTCACATATGTATGGTGTTCTGTACTGAAGCTAGGAGGAACATTTGAAAACACAATTCAATCCACTAATAGCGAGCGATCTGATGTTTTTGTACGACAGATATACAGCAATTCACTGTACGAAAAAGTCTCAAAAGTGTCCCCAAAATGTCTCGCTCCATTGCCCCCATATGGCCCCCTTTTTGTTCCTTCACCCCATGTCACCCCTTTTTGTTCCATCGCCCCCCTGAAAAATGAAATCACCCCCTGGGGGGCAATATCGCCCAGGTTAAGAACCACTGGTTTAGATGGAGTAGGCACAGTGTGAGGCTGCTGCTTCCTGTATACAAACTTTCTCTAATTAAGCTGATGGATAGACCTACAACATCTCAGCATTCAGAGGAGGAAGGTTTAGACCTTCCTATCCCTGGATGTCTTTTGTGGCCAGGCCACAAAGTATCCCTAATCTGTCTTCATTTCTGCATGTGGCTTTGGGATTTGTTGGGGAAAAAACTCTTGCTTACATGTCCTTTATGGACACTCTCTCAAGCATGGACTTAAAAACACACAATAATACAGCAAAAATAAAATAAGCACCAGAACAAACATTGCAGATTGCAAAACACAAACAGTGATTTAGTAGTTGACAACATATAAACAAATGAATGAAATGTCTTCAGCTAAAAGTCTGGGAAGATAAAATCAACTCAGAAGAAAAATTAGATGCACCTTTAACACTCTTGCAAATGCCTGCTAAACTGTGGCTTATGTGATAAAAGCCAGGTGACAACTGATTCCTGATGCACAAGAACATTTGGAAGAAATCTTGTCTTGTTTTACTCACTAGTCCATAGTAAGTTAAGCAGAAGCATATCCAATGCCAGCCATAAAGCAGTGGCACTGGTCCCACTTCTTGAGTTATCCCAAGCCTAAGTCACAGAACTTTTAAGGATCAAAACCAGCTCTTTCAATTAGACTTGGAAAGTAAACCAGGGTAGTGGCTGCAATAAAGGTATTACTTGAACTGACCCTCAACACCACCTTTTGGGACCACTCGTCCTGGATCCTCAGGCTTTTTAAGCTTCACACACAAATATGATCCAGAAAGATACTGTGTCTGATAGTCATGAAAGCTTCTAAAAGACTGGGGAGTCAGAAGAACTGCAAGGGTCTATCCCTTGGATTAAACGGAATGAATGCAGCTAAGGTTTTCTCTTGTCTAAAATGCACCTGGAGCTAATGTTCATCAAAGATAATTTCCATGAATTGCCTTTCACTTGATGTTATTTGGGAATGGGGTGCTGCACTACTTTCTTATCTGATTAAGAATATAAGAAAATTGGCTCATTAAAAGTGAGCCTATTAGGCTAGAATGATTAGTAGATTCTAGAATAGAAGACAATGAGTTAGCATGAAATCCTGTGGATGAATGTAATTAAGAGAAACTCAGTGCTGCAATTAATACGCTTATGTTCATGTTTCTTTAGCAGATAAAGGTATTAATCCAAAGGTATCGGGTCACTGCAACTTTGGGCTTTTTCACTTATATCTAACTAAGGCGCAAATATGTCCTGGCAATATGTATTTTTTGCCTTACTCCTATGACCATGTCCTTATCCTATCCTTGTAGCAAGACAGGCCAAAGTTATGCATATTTGTGCAGTATTGTTTCCCTTATTCTGACACTGTTCAAAAACAGCTTCAAAGGAATGTAAATTGTTAGACTTTGTCACACATCAAGTTGGAGGGAAATCAGGCAACAGGCAGGTACTGGGAAGAGAAACAGAACAGCAACAATTAAGGCTGATGAGCAGTAGGGCAGCAAATTTCATATCCACATGGATTTTTTTTCTTGTTCATGGTGGAATTCTACTAAGTAGTGGGGAAGGATCCTCTGTAAGCAGCTACATTTTTTTAATGGAGTGTGCCCAAATTGCAGTTTCCTTGATGTCCAGAAAATGTATTTGAAATCTCACGCCATGCAAATGTTTGCTTGTTTCAAGTATTTATAAGATTACCCAACAATTTGATTCTGAGAACTGTACAAAAGGAATAAAATTTTAGCAAAAAATAACCATAAATTGTTATAAAGTAATCCAGTATATAAAACAGCAAGCCAAACAAAACAATTAAAATAACCAAAAGAGCACTCCAAGTCAGGACTTCATTGCTTTTCTAAAAGCAAGCCAGTGGTATATTGGAGGGAGCTCACTCCAGACTCTAGGAGCAGCCACTGAAAAGGGACACTTCCTAAATCCAATAAGACGACAGGGTTTAACGGAAGGACAGACAGAGGTACTTGAGAGCAGGCAGTTCAGCAATTTCAGTACCCACTGGTGCTTTTCCATCTTTCTCCTTATTTTGCTATGAGATTGCTCTGTTTTCCTTCAACACCTTGATGGCTTCAGTGCTTTCTTCACATCCCCATATTTTCTTAAAAAAAGAAGATAGAAGACTGACTTCATTGCAAACATGATGACAGTTGGGCAAACTTGCAGAACTGACTGTTTGACATCAAATATCATGGTCAAAGAACTGGCAAACCTCTCCCAGACAGTTGAAGAATGTGATGCAGACAGTGGAATACTTTAAAATACAAAGAGTTTGCTTTTCACACAGATAAACAAATAGTGCAAGAACTAGCAACAGCTATTATTTACGTGCACTCAAGATGTGCATGTATGCAAAAGGAAATACATGAGATGAAATGGGCTAGAATACAACACAAACACACATAGAGATAGGTGTACATATCTGCCAGGAGACAGAGAATTAAAGGTGCATGGTTAAACGATCAACCTTTCCTGTAGAATGTAAATACAGAAGCTTGCCTTAGCAGAGTTAAGAAACACCTATTTTAATAGTATTCTGCTCTCTCTCCCTCCATAAGATTAAGCAAGGAAAATACTACAAAAGCTACATGAACCCTAAGAAAAAAACATGAGAAATCCTAGAATATAACACCTCAGAACAATTAATACTTTAACCATA